GCCTAGCTTGCATTTCATCTGCATAATCTTCGGCCCGGAAATGCAGACTGCATACCCTATTGCATAAGGGGTTCAGTTTCCCCTTTCGATTGCACTTTATAGTCCATTCTTTTTGCAATGCAGTCTTTTGCAAATTTGAAAAACTGCATTTTTGAGCCATTTGCTTTTGATTTGTTAGAGCTGTGCATATAGCAACGCTACAAATATTTCCACCCGGCATCAAATAACTTTAATCAATACTGAAGTATCTAACAGTAATTCAATCGAATTATAATACGCATTATACGTATAATTCAGCACTATCTGACAATATTACTTACACATTTCAAATAACTGTCAAAGTGAACGAAAACTCCAATCAAATGGGATTTCCGGATTCTCGATGACGCGTTTCCTTAAAGTTATGAGGCAACCTATTCTCTCTATTAACCTTGGGGCAAGTGGGCATTCTACCGTGTGTAAATTCGTCTATGTTGGCAATATCGTAAACGTGGCAACCGCACATTTGTAAAGTCTTGTAAAATAATCACTTTGTATGAAAAATGACTTCATATGATGCATGGCATTAACAAGTAAAATGAAGTGTTCAGTTTACATAACCTCAATTTTTCCAAAATGTAATTCAAAATGAGCGTGGCGGAAAAACTGAAATCGTACGAAAACTTTATCGAAGAAAAGCTCAAAAACGACTTAAAGGAACTCGAAACTGCGCTAACGAAAAAGAGCGACGATTTCAAACTATGGCAAGAGTTGAAGAACTCCCTTGTACATTTAAAGGAGGCGAAAGATGACGAACTGAACGTTACCTTCGAAATGGGACTGGGAGTATTCATTGGTGCAAGAGTGGAAGAGAGGGAAAAGGTGATCGTGAATATTGGATGCGATTGTTACCTGGAAATGTATTACGATGAGGCGATTAAGTATGCTGACATACGTATGAAGTATTTAACTAAGGAGATCGAGTTCTTTCGACAGCAGGCCGTTCACGTCAAAGCCCATATTAAGCTAGTATTGCTGGCGATGAACGAATTGAAGGAGTAAACCTGTACTTTAATAAATTGTATCTGAATTCTTACAAACTAATGTCTTATGATTGTTGCATAATTCGCTGGTCACATTTAACTTCTTGTAAGTGATGTGTCTTAAATAGCAATTAAAATGCATGCAAAATGTACACTGGTCACATTTAAACTTTGGAAATGTGCACCAACAGATGAAGTCATAGATAAATCGTACAAACTTGATGTCCCCCAAAATAGAGATCTTAGTTCCAGGCTCTTTCTGTTTGTAGTGACCTCTCTCCCCTTGCATGCTTTCCAGAACTTTATGTTTGCTACCAGAGCTTTCTGTGCCATTCCAAAGCTTTTCAGACTCCTGCAGCTCTGGAAAGGCATAGAAGTGTACCAAAGGCGATGCTCTATCTATTAAAGATCAGAAAGCCCTACAACGCTCTGGGAAAATGCTTTCCAGAGCACTTCTTTCCTCTCGGAGCTCTCTGGTTCTTAACCTAACCGCCATCCTCTTTCCAATGCTTTGAAAAAAGCAATATGGTCTAGAAAGCGTTGGAGAGAGAGGGCGGTTCTTTTCTAAAAAATGATTAAATGTAGGTAGATACTTGCAAACCCTTAACTTAAGAACCATCAAAGTTGAATATTGTTTTTGGTCAACCCTTGGGTTTTGGATTTTTTCTCAGGGTGTTACCTGATCAGGGGACAACTTACCAAAACACTTACCTACACTTGGGAATAATTTGATATGTACAGCTTACATTATTCGCTTATGTCCATGCTGTAGGTGTTATGTACGTAGGTATGTCCATAGTCCGCCTGTGTGCTATGTGGGTAAGGCTCAAGAAAACGGTAAAATATGTTATAAAACCTTGGAGGCAGAGCCGCCCTCAGAGTGGAGCGGTCGCTCCAGGCCTCGCGCTGAAAAAGGCCTCGCAGCTTACTCTCGCCAAAAAATAAATAAAAGTTTTGGTTGAATGAAAGTAATACATTAATATTTTAATATATAAATATAAAATATCGGTCTGATTACCGGCGCAATATGTTTTTTTATTGCCCTTCTTGTTCTAGGCCCTCAACAGGCTTACGCCCAATTACAGAGTGATCCGCACGGATCCGCATAATGCTTTTTAGAGGTGCCCCTGCAGAAGGTCTTAGTTGTTCTATACTACTCCGGTATTTACCTTACGAATTAGGAAACTGCAGGGAAACCTAATTCGAAGTAGCCGGCAGAATGCTCGAAACTGATCTAAGGAAATTCCCATCTCTGTCAAAGATGAAAAATTCTTACCTCAGCCCAGGTTCGAACACCCGACCTCCGGTTTTGTAGCCTAATGCTTTAGCATTGAACTACAAAGCGAAGATAATTATTGATTAATTAAAAAACCTACGAATCTCATTCGTACGAGATAATCATTAGTCGCGAACAAAAGAATGCAATTGCAAACCATCTTTTTGATTTTTTTTTTTTTTTTTGCAAACCATCGTTGGATAGAGGTGGAGGAGTGACGGACCCCGAGCTTCGCGCTGGCCGGTGAGAGAGTCATTCTTGCATCCTCTTTCCTCCTCAAGGGGCATTCTGTGCACCCCCCCCCCCTTCCCGGCAATCATTGTTAAAAAAGGAACCGCAAAAATATTTCGGTCCAGACCTCGCATTTGCTAAGGACGGCTCTGCTTGGAGGAGCCTCGAACACTTGTAAAGGTTAATGTCAGCTCTAGAGGTTCTTAGTGGCTCTTTGAGACAGAAACAATTTAAATGACCTTGGTAGCTATAGGGCTATAAGTATTCATCATAATGCTGTAGAGTACATCAGGTGCTAAAAGACTTGAACTTTCGGTTAAGGACATTTAAAGGCACCATATTGCTTACAATTTTCTTGAATCAGGTTTACGATGGACCCTAAAACGTATACAAACGTACGAGTAAGACACAGTACAAAATTTATTCAAGACTATAAATTACAATAAGATATTTAGACTAGAAAGCTACTTTATTAGGACTAGCGCCTTGTATTTTAACCATGAACTTTTCCAGTCTGCCCAGCTTACTCTTCAACATTGAAATATCATCACTATATGCCTCCTGTAACGGTCCGTCTGTTAGTAGGAAATAAGGAAAACTAACATCCAAAACTTACGAGCTTCCTCAGCCGAACCTTTAACACATTTACGTCCTCTAGAATGCTGTGGAAGTGACCGGTTATCTTTTTCACCTCCACGTTTTGGGTTGACGAGATCGTCGCCAAGTTATCTAAAATAGTCTACTCACGAAATGAGAAAAATGCCACAACGGCACTACAGAGATTACCTTTTCAAGCTTGTGCAATCGCTTGTCGAGCATTTCGTACTGTAAATCTTTGGCTTCCAAGGCGAGCTCTTCTCCATCTAATTGCATTTATCGGTTACTCATTTACGACAGGAGTCCTTACCTTCCTTACGGCACGATTGCCCATCACCCAGAAGGATGAAGCTCTCTCGGCACTCGCACTTGAAACCGCCCATGGTGTTGTGGCAGATTTGGTCGCACGGTTTATTGTCTGCACACTCGTCCACGTCCTCTTCGCAGTATTGCCCTTTGAAGCCGCTGGGGCAGCTGCAGGTGTTCGGTTTGACGCAGGTCCCACCGTTCTGGCACTTTGATACACATGACGCTAAAATGAAATATTGTAATTATTAAGTTAGTTGGCAGTGTGGACGTTTTCTAATAAAGTCCTGGCCGATGGTGAAAAGATCGAATGGAAGACCTAACTAAAACAAACACCGAGAATGCACAACCCATCCGACAATCACCTAGACCTAGACTATAAGAGACTGTGGTATTGGTTAAAAAAAATGGAGGAAGATCATTTTACAAAACAGGGGAGAACACGTCATACAATCGAGTTTTTTGCAGTGTGTAACCGTTTTCAAAATTTGCCTTTTTGAGTTTGCATTTTGGTAAATATAGGGAATTTAGGCATGTACCGCTTCATAGCAGACATGAACGGAAGTACGCCTGGAAACAAAAAGCGATTACGAGGTGTGCAGACTGTACGTGCGGGGGTTTCATTTATGAATGATAAAATTTACCCGAGGGAGCATTTTCTAATTGGAGATGCGTTCTTCAAATAGAAACGAGATTAAATACAACTGAATTTGAAGAACTCATTGTGATAAGTAGGAAAAATATTTTTTCGCATTGCTAACAAAGGAACCGGTTAAAAGCAAGTTTGTCTAAGTTCGAGTGACATATTTGCGTAGCGCCTTGTGCCATAAATATCATTTTGTATACAACGGCATTCGGCAGGAATTGCATTTACTTACAATGAAAATCTTACACATATTATCTCAAGGTCATCTGGACGCTGAGGGGTATTCCATACCCCCAGATCCCCGGTGCTACGTTCACCCTCGTAACTGCATAATTCGTGAAACATAATAATAGATTTGGTAGGTCTTCTTGTATTACGTCATCATCAAGGATAATGCAGAATTAGAAAACCGAGAAGAATCAATGAGTTGATAACGGAACAATAACTGGACCCAGGAGCATAAGCTTTTGGGGTCAAGTAGCTATTTGTGGCGAAAATTCTTTGAACTAACTACGTAAGTGCAAATTCCTTTCAGTTGTTGGAAATCTGAAACATTACTGCATATTTATTATAAGCATTGAATAAATGTTATAAATGGCAAATAAGGAGTCTTGACCTGACTTTGTTATGACTATAAGTTCAAATAGAATTTCCAGTTAATTTCGCGTTGATGACATTTCGAAGAAAAAAATCTGCAATCGAATTGAAATAAACATGTCAAAGTGTAATAACACTTTCCCATGGGTTAAAAATATCTTGCCTTTGTTTACGTGTCATAATTACATTTTAAGAGCAATTAAGATACACGCAAGCTTTGGGTAGTGCATGTTAACTTCTTTCTCTTGCACTGTCCAGTTTGAAGTTATTAATTAACCACAGGTTCAACGGAATTTTGATTGGTCTCTTGACAGCCTCTTTTTTCGTGAGGTGGGTACTTTACAAAGGTACCTACAGGTGAATGATCGTAGATTTTAGGACGTTAAATAGAACAAGCCACTACGTGGATATTACGATGAAAAAAAGTTCGTACAGCCCCCCAGCGTTGCATTACAAGTAGTTAGCACTCGATCTTTTTTTGGTGCAGTCGATAAGTAGTTGGAAGTTTTGAATTTTTACCGAAAGGTGCCCTCCCTCCAACGGGTTACCTTCAAACGTTTGATTCTTGCAGGAAATTAGCACCTCCGATGTGTTTGGTCAATTTTATTTCGAAAGTTTTGACACGTGTCTATGCAAATTTACAAATTACAAGAGTTTTGGGTCATTTCTGAAATTATGAGCCCTTTCAATGCTTTCTAGATGCTTCTTTTTATCGAAGGTGTTGAAACGGATCTGCAAAAGGTGTAGAAATTGAGTAAAAAGGTTCTGAAACGTAATAGAGAGCTCTGGAAGGCCCCTTAAACGTCTTCTAGATACCACGAGAATGATACAGTAATATATAGAGCTAGGCAGAATACTTTCAAAAAGTATTTGAATACTAAATAGTAAATACTTTACACAAATAAAAATTGATTACTAAATACTTTTACGTCCAGCACAAGCGAATACTAGATACAGATACATTGAAAAGTATTCAAATACTTAAAAAAATAAGTATTCAAATACTTTAATGTATTCGAATACTTTCAAAGGTATTCGAATACCTACTTTCCAAAGTATTCTAATACTATCAAAGGTATTCGTACACTGCCTAATTTTGAGCCCCGCAAAAAAATTTTCTCAGATCGACCCGGAAAAAATTTTCTTATAGAATGTGGCCTGTAGAATCCATAATTTCAAACAGTTCCAAGATTGGGCTACTATTTCAAAAGTTACAGGCCTTTGAATTTTCTTTCGAAATTGGTTTCTAGTCTATAACTTTTGATTGAGAAGTCTGATCGAAAAAGTACGAATTGATTTGGATTCTACGCACTCAAATTAATAAGAAAAAGTGTTTTCCCGAGAAATTTTGGTGTAGTCGATTTTTGGTAAAAAAGGAAGGTTATACACTGCCTTTTTTTGAGG